TGTTACTACTAGTAAGGCACCTGTTACTACTAGTAAGGCACTTGTTCCTAGTAGCTTATTGTTTTTAATAGCTTCTTGTTACTACTAGTAAGGCACCTGTTACTACTAGTAAGGCTTGTTGCTAGTAGCTTATTGTCTTTAATAGCTTCTTGTTACTACTAGTAAGGCACCTGTTACTACTAGTAAGGCACTTGTTACTAGTAGCTTATTGTTTTAAATAGCTTCTTGTTACTACTAGTAAGGCATCTGTTACTACTAGTAAGGCACTTGTTCCTAGTAGCTTATTGTTTTTAATAGCTTCTTGTTACTACTGGTAAGGCACCTGTTACTACTAGTAAGGCACTTGTTACTAGTAGCTTATTGTTTTTAATAGCTTCTTGTTACTACTAGTAAGACACTTGTTACTAGTAGCTTATTGTTTTTAAATATCTTCTTGTTACTACTAGTAAGGCACCTGTTACTACTAGTAAGGCACTTGTTCCTAGTAGCTTATTGTTTTAAATAGCTTCTTGTTACTACTAGTAAGGCACCTGTTTCTACTAGTAAGGCACTTGTTACTAGTAGCTTATTGTTTTTAATAGCTTCTTGTTACTACTAGTAAGGCACTTGTTCCTAGTAGCTCATTGTTTTCAATAGCTTCTTGTTACTACTAGTAAGGCACCTGTTACTACTAGTAAGGCACTTGTTACTAGTAGCTTATTGGTTTTAACAGCTTCTTGTTACTACTAGTAAGGCACCTGTTGCTACTAGTAAGGCACTTGTTACTAATAGCTTATTGTTTTAAATAGCTTCTTGTTACTACTAGTAAGGCACCTGTTACTACTAGTAAGGCACTTGTTGCTAGTAGCTTATTGTTTTTAATAGCTTCTTGTTACTACTAGTAAGGCACCTGTTGCTACTAGTAAGGCACCTGTTACTACTAGTAAGGCACTTGTTACCAGTAGCTTATTGTTTTTAAAAGCTTCTTGTTACTACTAGTAAGGCACCTGTTACTAGTAGCTTATTGTTTTTAATAGCTTCTTGTTACTACTAGTAAGGCACCTGTTACTACTAGTAAGGCACTTGTTACTAGTAGCTTATTGTTTTTAATAGCTTCTTGTTACTACTAGTAAGGCACCTGTTACTACTAGTAAGGCACTTTTTACTAGTAGCTTATTGTTTTTAATAGCTTCTTGTTACTACTAGTAAGGCACCTGTTACTACTAGTAAAGCACTTGTTACTAGTAGCTTATTGTTTTTAATAGCTTCTTGTTACTACTAGTAAGGCACCTGTTACTACTAGTAAGGCACTTGTTACTTGTAGCTTATTGTGTTTAATAGCTTCTTGTTGTTACTAGTAAGGCACCTGTTACTACTAGTAAGGCACTTGTTACTAGTAGCTTTATTGTTTTTAATAGCTTCTTGTTACTACTAGTAAGGCACCTGTTGCTACTAGTAAGGCACTTGTTACTAGTAGCTTATTGTTTTTAATAGCTTCTTGTTACTACTAGTAAGGCATTTGTTACTAGTAGCTTCTTGCTTTTAATAGCTTCTTGTTACTACTAGTAAGGGACCTGTTACTACTAGTAAGGCACTTGTTACTAGTAGCTTATTGTTTGTAATAGCTTCTTGTTACTACTAGCAAGGCACCTGTTACTAGTGGTAAGACACTTGTTACTAGTAGCTTCTTGTTCTAAAACAGCTTCTTGTTACTACTAGCAAGGCACCTGTTACTACTAGTAAGGCACTTGTTACTAGTAGTTTTTTTTTTTTTTTTAATAGCTTCTTGTTACTACTAGTAAGGCACCTGTTACTACTAGTAAGGCACTTGTTACTAGTAACTAGTAGCTTATTGTTTTTAATAGCTTCTTGTTACTACTAGTAAGGCACCTGTTACTACTAGTAAGACACTTGTTACTAGTAGCTTATTGTTTTTAATAGCTTCTTGTTACTACTAGCAAGGCACCTGTTACTACTAGTAAGGCACTTGTTACTAGTAGCTTATTGTTTTTTAATAGCTTCTTGTTACTACTAGTAAGGCACCTGTTACTACTAGTAAGGCACTTGTTACTAGTAGCTTATTGTTTTTAATACGAACGAAAAAACACAAAAAGGAATAGGAAGCTATTAAAAACAATAGGAAAAATCAATACAATTTTTTAGTTTTCAGGAAAAAGGAAGGAGCAACTTCAATTTCGTTCCAACGCTGAAAAGCAGTCGGGTTGCTTGTCGAAATCAAACGCTGCGACCTTCACAGCGCGTGCTGCCGTGCACCGGTACAAGCACCAGCCTGACCACGACCGCCACGTGTCGCGGAAAAAGACACACTGAGTCACTCAGAAACGCCGCTCGTCTCTCCTTGCCGACACCATGGATGAGGCCTTTTCCATGGAAGCGAAAGACTGGCTTGACAAGTGCAACTTCAGTCGCTGTTTCCTTCTCTCTCATACTCATCCGACTCATCCCCATCTTTCAGCTGTCATGATTTCCACCGGACAGCTGAATGCGTCATCCGAGGTTCAAGCAAATCGACTTCAGAGAAGAGTTTCAACGCCTGCTGGCTCCGTGCCAACCTGACGAAACGCCGTCCATTTGCCGATCCAACCGACCGAAACACCGAGGTCTTGACCGACTCATCACGCCATGGCGGAAGGACGGGGCAGAAATCACGTGCCAACACGAATGCTAGGAACAAGTGCCTTACTAGTAGTAACAAGAAGCTATTAAAAACAATAAGCTACTAGTAACAAGTGCCTTACTAGTAGTAACAATGTTTGCTAGAATTAAGTTTCAACATTTGAAGTTAATTTAGAAGTGACCTCCGAGATGTGATGTCTACTAGCTTCTTGTTACTACACTTGTTACTAGTAGCGATGCACTTGTTACTAGTAGCTCATTGTTTTTATTCTAATTAAAGTATAATCTAACATCAAATTTGTGACAAACTGTTAGATAGCGAAGCCCATCCCTCGCGCTTGTTTTGGGACTCAAGCGCTGCGGAAGTACGAGTAGTTTTCAACTAGCAAACTGCATCTTCTATACATACTAGTTCATCCAACAAACTCTAACACCCCGCCTAAAATTGAAATGGCGAGATTTCGAGTCTTTCGATTTTCCATTCCTGTACATTCCATCACCATCAAGAAGGTGACCACAGACTAAGGTCGGAATGTAAATTGCTATGAAACGTGTTCACTCATTCCTTCGGACTTTGAATTCATTCGTAGTGTCCAGTTGTCGTGACATGCAATCATCCATCTTCCTGTTCTGGTTCAGCAGTCGTATCACCATGTCGAAGTGCACGGGCATAGGCCACACGTCGCCGCACACTCTCATTCTGCACTGCCGAAATGCGTTCCTCTTGTTCCGGTTCTGGAATTTCGAATCTTTTCGATCCACTTGGCTTTGGTTCTTCACTCGACGAAATCACAGCTTCTTCTCCCATGACTGGATCTGTCGTGTTCTCTGCTTCTCCTGCTTCTTTGTCTCCATCTTCACTTGTCGAATCACCATGATGTACTGCCATCCAAAAATCTGGATCGCTTGCTTCACTCAAACTGCACCACCTGTATCGCATCTTCTTGTCTTCCTCCGGCTCATCCTCAGAAACTTCAAGCTCATTTCCTGAAGCTCTACTGTAACCATCTGTTGCGCTGCCACTGCCGCTCGATCGTGGGAATGTTTCTAAACTTCCAAGCGACAAATCATTGATCAACTGACGAATTGCTCTGCGGGATTCCGGTTTCTCATACCGAACTGCCATGCTCACCAATGCTATCACCATACGTCGTTTCTCCTGCAAATCAAATTGCACTGCATAATCCTCATGCCTCTTTCGAAGCTCATTCTCTATCCAATTCAAACCAAGCCTCAAATCCTGTTCGATTGACCCTTCTGCAAATGCTTCCGGTTCGTCAGCTTGTACGGGGATGGATTCCCCGCCTGTGTTCATGCTCCAGCTTCGTACAAGGAAAATCACCGATGAAACGAATGCCACACAAATGCCTGCCACGAAGAATAAAGAAATGATTCCACTCACTTCTCTTTCAGACTGATTGCAACCCTGAAGTCCTAAACCAATGGTCATCAATGTACCAAGGTTGTATCGATTGAATCTTCGTGCAAATGCTGTTTGTACTGTTTGGATCATCAACTTGCTATTGCAATGCTCGAAAAACTCTCTAGATCCAATTCTCGTTTCAATCTCAAAATCTTCAGTCACTAAGACCGTTTGCAAGAAGAATAGAAGGAAATGTCTTCGATTTACACTGAGTTTCTTCGTGTTGAGGTCTGCAATGTTGAGTTTCGTGGATATAGGTTTGATATCAACAGAACCATCTTGTATGAGTTTCTGTGTCCACAACAGTCTCACTTGATAATGTTTCAATCTGCCAACTCCACTACGTTGCAACCATTGCCTTGCTGAAGATGACTCGGCTCGAATGCAAATCCTGGCAACATCTTTCACCAAGAACTCCCAAACCTGTTTCACCAAAAGCGTTTCGCTCAATCCTCCTGTCAACCCCAAAAGCTCGGCTTCGCAAGATGAAAGTGCTATGCTCTTTTGGGTCCTAGAATGACTGTGCATTACAATGCTGTTCAAACAAAGTATGCCAGCGGATGTGCTTTTGCGGGAATGTGCACTGCCAGCCCAATCCGAGTCTGTAAACAATTCGAACAAATGTGCTCTGCCACTGCTTTCCTGTTCACCTTCTCCTGGGACATTGTTCAGTTTCCATGTCATTGAGTTTCCTGGGGCTTCATAGCCCATGAGAAAGGTGAGGTTTCTTGTTCCCTTCAAATACAAAATCAAATGAATCAAACAATGTTCTGCGTTCACCGTTGGGGCCGAAAGCCAAGACGCCAAAGACTTGATCGCAAACTGACAATCGATTCGCTCTTGAGCAATGTACATCAAAGTTCCCAAACCACTGCGAAAAGATTTTCTCCGCCCTGGATCAATGTCTTCAAGGCTCTCGCTGCAATCCACTTGTCCCAACAGCTGATGATCCGGTGTTGCTTTGGATCGCTTGTTTTCTAGTCCATATAGTTTGATCAATGCATCAAGGTACTTTTCATTGGGTTTCACGAAAATTCCTTCAGGAGTGAATTTGTACTTCTTCTTCAAATAACTGATTTCCTCTCCAGTTCCTACACTGCCCAAAGGAACCGGACCTTCAGCCTGAAGCTTGTACCTTGCCTTCAATGCTTGCAAAAGCCACTCTCCGTCTCGGGGATCTTTCACAGCAACTAAAATGTCATCTACATGCATGTTGATTGCTGCTTGCTTTGTTGTATGTCGAAACACCGAGGGCATAGCTAAGCAAGATTCGAATCCAAGCTCACTCAACACCTGCGAGAAAGAAGAAAACCATCTCTTTGCTCCATTACGTTGTCCGGGTAACACTTTCTTCAATCTCCAAACTGTGTCATCTGAAACTTGCAAAACTGACTTGATCCAAGGCCTCAGTTCTACGATGCATTCCTCAACCTGATCGACCGTCAAATAAGCATCACTGATATCTAGGCTGAGAAGCTTCCAACGAAAGTTCAAATTCAAGACAAAGAATAGCCTCACTACTGAAGTCGCGGTTGTTGGTGAAAATGTCTCCTGGTCAGAATGCGCTCCAGCCCTGAACTCTCGTGCAACTATCCTGCAACGTCTTTTCCAAGCTCCTTGTCGATGTCTCCAATCGTACACCTCTTTCAAATCAATGAACTTCGTCTCCTGAAAGTTCACTTCTCCTACTTTCACTTCTTCAACCACTCCAAGACTCTTCAACTTCGAAACTTCGTCAATCATGGCCTGATCGTCCAGCTTCTGTAGCTCTTCTGCCGAAATATCGGGTGGTCGCTCACCCTCAAAATCAATGTCATCCTGAAACAACTCGGGGTCAAAATCAAAATCTTCTTCTGTCAAATGCTGCTCAACCTCTATGTCCCAAACTTCGTCATCATGCGGTTTCATTTCAACCTGGCCAGCAAAATACGGTGCATACAAACGATCATGAACTCCACTAGAAGGACTTCCATTCAGACCTTCACCTCGGGGTGCTTTGCTCCGAGGAGATTCTTCGCCAGCCAACTCACCTGAGGACTGCTTTGAACTGGTGTTCACATCCATGTCGATCTCATCAATCAAAGAACTAGATTTGTTCATGTCTGCCATCACCTCTGGATTCAAAAAAGGTGGAGTAAGAGGAGCACGTTCGCCAGGGGATGTCGGTGCATATCCTGACGATTCAGCATCTTTCACGTCTTCCTCATCTCTATCCAAAACCATCTCTCCTTCTCGAGGTTCACGATGTCCCACATGCTCGAAAACAACGGGAAGAGGCGTGCCTAGACCACCAGGTGTTTTCGGACCCTTCTGCTTCAACCATGGACTTGACTTCAAAGCTAAAATGACATCTTTCCTCCAAGGCGTAGCACATCTTCTCACTGACCTTGAAGCAAACTGTCCAGAAGGGGTCAAAATGATGTTCATGTCAACTGTGTCCTTTCCTACCCAAACTCCTCCTGTCCAAGTGCTCACTCCTTTCTGCTTTGAAGGTTTCTTCAACCCAAAACAAAACTCACCAAACGGCATCAACTTTCCGTCATACTTCTTTCCAAACCAAATTTCATAGGGTGTCGCCTTCAATGCTCGATGTTCGTGAAATCTGTTCAAAAGAAAGCAACTGTGAATCAAAACCCAAGCACGAAGCACATGTGTATCTTCCAACGTTGTTCCAAGGGCGTCCTCCACATGCAAAACGAGTGCTGATGCCTGATGTTTCATAGTTTGGATCTGCCGTTCTATTCTTGCTGTCCTTCCCTTGTGATAGGGCTTCCCAAGCCTCTTCGACGATGGATATCCCATGTTCCTCCGCACTTCAATGACCATATCCAAAAGGCTCAAAGTCGCAGGTTCTGAATCCATGACAAAAATGACTTCCTTCAGATATCCAAGTTCCAATGAGAACCTTACTGCTGCTTCTGCTGCCTGCCTGTATGCTCCCTTCGTTGTCGTAGGAAACACGCTGCTGTACCTGGTCTTCGTGTCCAACATACAAAGTGCAGGGCAATCCTTTCCAAGGAAACTCCAATCCATCTGAATTGTGGGCACTCCACTGTCTTCCTGCTCGAAATCCGTGTTCTGCAATGTTCGATCCTCCTTCGACTTCGATCTCGCGCAAACGCTGCACCAACTCTGAAATGGAAGGTGTGTCACAGCGTGTCTCTCCTGTTCAGCCTCATCTGGAAGAGGATCTGCTGGTTTCTGAACAGACAATGAAGGTTCTTGCATCCTTTTCTTCAAATTCTCTGAAAGAACAACTGCATCCCGTTTGTGTTGCTGTTCCAAATAATTGCAAAGTCTTTCAAACAACTTCTTCTTGGATCCACTCTGATTGATACCAAAGTACTCACATGCATCTTTCAATGCTTTCACAGGGCTCGTTTCATTCAGCTCCAAACCATTCACAAAAATGCACTCAGGAAGTTCAACTAGTCCTCCAGCCCTGTCTCTGCTCACAATCTCGGGCTCGATCGTTGCTAGCTCTTCTGGCACACCAGGTTCACGTGGAAAGAAATGTTCTGGCTTTCCAAGTTGATCAACGGGTAAGGGCGGAACCTGAAGTCCTGTTGGAATCGATGGCAACTCCTCTGCACCTACGATCTCACACTCAAAACTGCTCAATGGAACCAAACTCCT